TCTCGCATATATGTAAAAAAATTCATGAACTATCATGCACTAGGAGTCAAATTTTAAATATGTCATACGTACGTAGGATCACCCATAATACATCATCGAAATAGTGTTAAGGTAATATTCGCACACAAATTTTATGGTACAGAGCTAGGAAAACCCGTAATTACGCATTTATTTCAATCTTTTAAAGAATAGACGTATGAATATCGAGTATAAATTTTCGGGGTTTAATTCGTACAATATGTATAATAATGAATAGTGTTACAACATTAAAGAATACAAAGAATAAGCTTTTAATTTATGTATTTTTAAAGTTAATAAATATTTTATTAATATTATGTATCACAGGTAATTGTACGAGTTTAATCTGAATGAATATTTACTGTTACATGATTTGGCACTATTTATAACTGATAACTGCATTACATAAAGTTTGTTTGCTCGTACGTACGTACGTACGTACGTATAATAAGTACAATTATGTATTTAAGTATAGCATTTTTATTTTCTTGTCATAATATTCATAAATTCATAATATTTACTAATTATCCGTCAAGATATTACTAAATAAAGAATTATTGATACACCATACGAGTACCATATGAGTTACGATCCAACATTAAGATTATTAAGACTTTAATAAGATTTCAAGAGTGTAAATTGCTTTCAAGATGATTTGAAATATTCAATTTCTTAACCAACTCTATATGAAAAATATCATGATATTATGTACAAGATGTACGCAATTAAAATATTAGAAAATTCGACGTATTAAGAGCGTACGTACGTAATAAATGATATGCGTCGTTTGTACAACACAATTTTTTAACCGTGAAATTTTGTCCAATCCCTCAGTGATTTAATACATTCATAGAATATATAAGGATAAATAACCCAAGAAATAAATTATTCGGTTATGAATAGTGTTTATAAATATTTATCCCTTAAATTTAAATATTTGTATTGAGTGTAAGTATTTTCGAATAAATCATAAATAGTGTCACACAATCAGTTCGTTTCAAAAACAAAAATTAGTATAAAAAAATTGATACGTATCTTTTTTCTATGAAAGTAATAAACCTACCAATTAAATCATTAAAGTTTAAATTATTTTACCATGCCGAAACTTGGAGTACAGGATGGTTAGATCAAGAGTAGATTAATGTTGATTAATGTTGATTAATGTTGATTAATGTTAATTAATGTTAATTAATGTTAATTAATGTTAATGCAATAAATCTAAATTGATAAATGTGCATGTGACGAGGAATTCGCAAAATCTAAAATTTAAAAAGCATAAAAACTTTTGATAAACATTTAATAATGCAAACAAAATAAAGTCTTTGATCAAATTCTGAGCATAAAGATCATTTTAGTAGTTCCGGAAGTTACAATGAAGATTTCGAGGGTAGTGTGGGGCAAGTATGCATGCTTTGTTTTATGAACTTGATGTTTGTAAAGTATGTAGACTAGCTATAAATTTTGTGGTTTTGTTATCGTCGCACAACGAAGCACTTTTTGCTGCGAGGAACCAAATAACATTGAGTTTCAGCTATTTTTAAATTTTTATAGCGAGAAACTGATGAATTAAAAAATTTGAGAGGTTTGAGAGATTTGAGAGAGATTTGAGAGAGATTTGAGAGAGATTTGAAAGAGATTTGAGAGAGATTTGAAAGAGATTTGAGAAAGAGTAGTTATATAAGAAAGTGCCTCAATATTATGTATAACGAAGGGTTATTTTCATACTGAAAGAAACAAAGAAGCAAAAACGATATCTTAATTCTCTATCTGTCTTTATTCTTTAATTCTTATTATCCTAGATACATGTAGTTACAAATTGTATTTACGGACTGTATTATTATTTATTTGTAAGAGCATTACATTTAAATATTTGACCACTTGGGGATTACATTGAAATTTATTGGCTTGAGCGAGAGGATTTATAAACGTTAAACGCAGCTTGATTAACACGATGCATTTCAATAGTATATTTCCTTATATCGGTAGACAGCATATACGTATCATCATTATTGTTATCACTATTGAAAAATGTGCATTTCTACAGTATAGTATATTTCCTTATATCGATAGACAGCACATACCACATACGTACGTATTATCATTATTGTTATCACTATTAAAAAATGACTAATTATGAATGGATGTTCTGCTTGATGATTGCATATAATTAATAAAACTGGTTGACATTTAAAGAATATGAAACGCAAATCTTTACAATTGTTAATTAAATGATTTTATGCATGTATATTAATAAATTGTTTTACTTCAATTCGATAATGCAAAGGAGCATACACACACGGGTTCAAAAATCAGTTACATAGGTACTTTCTATTCAGGCATGCCGTTATTTCTAATGACAACTATCGGAAAATCCGTAACGAAGTGATCGAGTTCGGAGATATTATCGTAAATAATGACATCATTCGTTCACTGATATATTGATCACAGATTATTAATGTTACTTGCATACTTTATAATCAAATAATTCGACAAGTTCCTACATAACAAACATCCATAATATATTTAATATATGTAATATATGTAATATATGTAATATATGTAATATATGTAATATATGTAATATTCGGTTAATATTTTTCAATTTCTATTTTGATATAATTTTGATATCATCTTTATTAAGTTTATTGATTATATACACCGTCCATTATGTCCTCTCATATATACATATATAATGCTATATAAAGTCTATATCAATGATCTTACTCACGTACAAACTTAATTATTATGATTAATATGTAATACGCGGCTTCCACAAATAGTAAACAAATCGATTACCTTAAAAAAAATTGGGACGTCTTTGACTTTACGAGGAATCCTTGCCCTTTCGGATAAAATTGATGCATGACAATAATGATTGGTACATTTTTACTTCGATCATTTGGATGAATTATTGAATTATTCCATTTCGGATAAATTTTCATTGGTTTAGAGTTGAATTAATCGTAACTTTATTAAATAGGTGTCCCTGGATTCAAGGAGAAAATGCTTATGACATTGTACTTTAAGATTTTTCTACCAATCGTCTTGTTTATTTACTGTAATTTACGTAATTTAAATACTTTATTTTTACTAATCTATTTTATTATTTTTAGACACATTTATATTACTTTAATATATATATATATATATTAGTTCTCGTTTCTATAAATGTGGCCATTTTTCCGTTTAAAGTTTTTTAAAATTTTAAAATTCGATTTACTTTTCAATTTAACTTTCCAACTTACTTTGTTTACTCTTTTAATTTTATCTTTATTCTCAACTTTTTACCTTCACTTTGCTGATTACATCTCTCTACTCACTATTTTCAATATCATCATCATACCGTAATCAACGTAATCAATGGGGAATACTAAATCGAAAAAATCTAATGATAATACATTTACCAGAACTTTAGACTTGGCTGAAATTGATAGTTACCAAGTTTTGCATCATGTCCTTCGTACTATATGGGATGGAAATTTCATGTCTCCTATTATGCATCTTTTAAAATCTGATAATGGTGCCAATGTTTTAGATGTTAGGTATTTATTATTATCTTTATAATATTTATTAATATTTATCTATTATTTATTCATTATCTTTAATATTAATTGATATTTCTTATCATTACTTCATGTCATAAAAGTTGTGGGCCAGGTACTTGGACATGTGAAATGTCTTCGGATTTTCGAAATTCTACATTTACTGGAATAGACGTGGTTCCAATGTTTCCTGATCAAAAACCAAGCAATGTAAAATTTATTCTACAACAAGATCTTACTTCCGGTCTTCCATTCTATGATAATTCTTTTGATTTTATTCATTTGAGATTGTGTTGGTATTATTTTACTTTTGATCAATGGAGAACCACTGTCATAAAGGAATTCGTTAGGTTGTTGAAACCAGGTGGTTGGTTAGAGGTTAGTTAAACTCTTTTAATGTTTCTATGAAATTATAAATAAATATATATATATTTATATATAATTTATTTATTCTGATTTTATTTTAGATATGTGATATAACGCTGGACGGTGATAATCTAGGTCCCGCAACTTTGAATTTTTGCGAAGACAGTATGTATTCTTACATTTACAAACAGATAGATATATATAAATTCATAATATTTATAATATTCTGATATTTTAGTAAAAGCACGCGCCAAAGACAAACAACTTGACCCAGAGATAACTTATCATCTACCAACAATATTAAGTTCTACACCAACCCTTTCTTCTGAAGTACATTATGAATTAAGAACGATTCCTTGTGGTTCATGGGGTGGAAAGGTTGGTGAACATCATGAACAAGCTATAAAAGATCTCGTTACGAAATGTTATAATGAATATTTGTCACCTAAAGCTGCAAATAAGGTGGTAGAACAAATCTTAAATGAATTTAAGGAATTTCGAACCAAGTCTTATTGTCATAGGATTTATGTACAAAAAATGAATTGTAAATAATTTTTTTGTTGAAAAAATTCTCAATGTTTTATTAGTCATGAAAATGAAATCCGAGGATATTATGATAATTTCTTTATAAAAAACATTTTTTTGTCATTACATATATAGTATATATACTATGGCAAAATACTTTTTTATGCTGTATTAACTTTAAGCTTTAAAACCAAAAAAAAAAAACTTGTTTTTTTTTTCTAATTTTTTTTCCTATAGTAATAATTTTCTATAGTAATAAAAATTATTTACATTAAACTGCTAAATGTTAGTACCAATACTTGACACCCTTGAATCCATAAGATTGTGCGTACGTACGCACATACGTACTTACTAATTGCCCAACACCGACAATATTTGGTTCTCTTCATAATTTGATATTTGATCCGAAATCGTAAATTCGGATATTTGATCCGAAATCGTAAATTCGGATATTTGATCCGAAATCGTAAATTCGGATATCTGATCTAAAAATCCGATCTTATGCGGATAACATATTTTATTTAAGAGGTAATCTGCATCGGATATGCCCGGATGATCTATCAAAAAAATATTTCGTATTTGTGTGATTCATAAATATCGACATAAAAAAATTTTTATAGGATCTCTTGAAGTACGATGACATAATTAAAATTAATACGTAAACATGTATTATTAATCAATTAATCAAAAATTGATTTAATTGATTAAAGAGTGTCACCTATCACTATGTTTTAATAGATCCAATTTATTATTGACATAATGACATTGAAAAGATATGTCGATAAAAATATTCATCCTCCCGAATATTAGAATCCATTAAGCGGGTAACGCCAAGGAAAAATCAGCCTTCAAATCATATAAAATTTATATGATCGAAGCCTGTTTTTTCCTTGGCGTCACTCAAACAATTATATAGAATTTACTGTATCATATACATATATATATCACAAATTATTTTGTGTAATATATATTATATATAGTATATAATAGCATAATAAACATGTATTACTATATTAGGGTAATATTTGTAAGTGGATTTACGTTAATAATAAATTCAGAAATTTGTAAAGTAAAAGTCACGTGAGGCATATAAATTACTATATACCTGGCTTTTAGACGATCCTATATTGGGTAACTCGCGATGAAACCAGGAACGAGATTAAACATATACAGTATATCTTGATTATATATGAATTGATAAGAATATGTGTGGATAAATTCTTATGAAAGTGGAAAACAATGTTTACAAGTTTCTTTATTCAAAGTCAAAAAAAACTAAACCATCTAAAAAATGTAACTAATAGTAAAAACATGTTAGAAAAAGGTCGATCGAAATTTTAAGAAAATGATTTGTTGGGAAAGTAGGTATAAAACGT